TTGTTTTTCCGGAGCCGGAAAGTCCTTGTTCTTCCTTTCAGAGACAATTTTTGGAGGCATGAAAAAGAACAGAGATCCCAGCTGGATTCTGCGTGGCTTTGAGTACCTAATCGTTACGCATACAAATCGTATTTGTGGTTGCGTACTTCCAGGTGGAGCCTGGCGATCTCCTGGCATTTGATCACCAGAGAACAGAGATTAGTCCCCCTGGAGGAAATGGCTGCTTTGCAGGGTGGACTCTGGGGGGATTATTACGCCCTGCTGAGGTCCCTCACCTCCACAAACCCCACCCTTCCCCAAGCTTCACCCCCAAATCTCCAGGTTTTTCCCAATCCAAAGCTGGCAACTCTAATTGAAGGCTTCCTGCAACCCACCCCATAGAAAGCTACATCAGCTGCTCCCACACAGAGGTTTTTTATCCTCTCCCACGGCGTTCGAACCGGAGGAATTTCCACATGATGCCGTGCTCTAATTTGTGCTCCAGTTCTCTTTCCCCCGTCCTCTGCATGCTGTTTCTCAAACCTCCTCATCTCCGGATCTTTTTTGGAAAGCGCATAATCCCAGTGCATGATCGCGCCATCCGTAGGGGAAGGTGCACATTTTCAAAAGGTCCCACCCACACCAGCGCCATTTTCCTTCCGTCGGACGCTCACGGACGCCATTTTCTGCACTGAGCCACCAGAGGGCTTTTAAAAACTAGTGACTGCTATAGCACCGTCGTACCGATGCTATAGCAATTCCTGAAGTCCCTCCATTTGCACAGCAGGGAGGAATGTGGGGGTGGTGGCAGCTGATAGAGGGAAATGAGCAGAAACATTCCATGAGGAAGCTTTACCATCAATGCCCCCACCTCTGCATTTGCAGCTGCAAAAAAGAAATCCAAAATGGGGCATCCTCGTTGCAGGGACGCAGCCATGATCTGGATTCGTTAAGACATGCTTTGACTCTTCTGAGCTGGAATGCAAAGAACTATGTTGCCCAGCGTGAGGCTAAGGCCGCATAGGGGACTTTTGTGCTGTCTACAACCGCTTATTTTACCCTCAAAACCAATCCACACAGATGGATGGAGACTGCTCTAGGTCTGGATGAGTCTCAAAGACTTCAAGGGACTGGATTGGCGGAGCCTAAGGAGCAGTGTTCCCTCTAAGATGAGTTAGTGTGAGCCAGCTCACAGTTTTTTAGCCTCCGGCTCGCACATTTTTGTCTCGGCTCAGGAAGGAGGGCTCCAAAGCGGCCAAGTCGCTCGCTCACAACTTGAATGCCGGTAGCTCACAAAGTTGAATTTTTGCTCACAGGACTCCAGAGCTTAGAGGGGGCATTGCTAAGGAGGTCCACGAATGAAAGAATTCCTGCCTTTAAATTTACAAACGGAATATATTTAAATTAGTTCGAACATCTGCAGCCTCAACACAGATTGCGGGAGATATCAAAGGAAGACTGAGACAAGTTGTGGTTTATTCAAGAAGGACCGTCTTAGTTTTCTTTTTTTCCCATTCTCCATTAGGGTAACATACGAGACTCCATAGCCTCAAAATATTATTCCAGAATGTTTTCAGTAAGTTTAATGTTGAGAATGGAATACTGTATTGTAATATTGTTTTGTATGTTTATTGTGATTTTAATATTGAATCCCCCGGAGTCGTAACATAAAAGTTGGGAAACTGGGAGACAAAGCCAACGTTTGGCCATAACGCTTAGCCCCGTGGATCAGTTTATCATCCCTGGTTTGAATTCGCCTACCCTGATTAATCCATTAAAGTGCGAGTGGATTACCACTGAATTTGGAGGTGAGTCTCTCTCTCTCTCTTTTGCACATGTTACAGTCTGCAGTCCTACTTTGTATCTGTTGGCAAGTGGCTCCCCCTCGACCCGGAGACTCTGAACACTGTGAACATCGCATCATGATGTTCATGTGGCAACAGTGCTAGCTGCAGCTACACCGGTATCACACCATTGCTTTTTTTGGGGGGGAAACAAAATGTGAAAAGGAGGCACCTATGCATTTCATACAATACCTGGTGAGTTTAGGCGCTTGACTAATAAGCTAAACTATTCTTGTTCGCATCATGAAGGGGACACGGAACGGAGGCGAGTGGCAACTCTCCGCGTCCATTCTCAAGAGTCCGGAAACACTCCGCACATTTCCCACGGCAAACACAGCTCGAGAAAATGTAAGCTGCCCTGAGCCCGTTCGCGGGGCGGGCAGGATAGAAACCCAATAAATAAATAAACATAAATAAATAGAGAAGGGCAACGGAGAAACACAGTAACCAACCGGAGGCCGACTGGGCAGCCATTTTCCGTTCCCGCTATTCTTATTTTAGAAAGCATGACAGTTTGGGAGAGAACTTGATGATCCATGCGGCAAAGAGAGCTTCTTGGTCGCGCCACACCTAAGAAGCAACTTTCACATCGTGGCCATTAATAATTACCCCCAAGACCAATGCTCCCTCTAAGCTGTGTAGTCTTGTGAGCAAAAATTCTACTTTGTGAGCCACTGGCATTAAAGTTGTGATCGAGCCATTTGGCTACTGCATAAATCAGTTTGCTCCGGAGCCATCCTTCCTGACCTAAGACAAAAATGTGTGAGCCGGAGGCTAAAAAACTGTGAGCTAGCTCACACTAAATCAGCTTAGAGGGAACACTGCCCAAGACGCTGAAATCTTGGCGAAAATAAACACATTCTCCAAGAAAAGGGAAACAGTTTGGCCTGTTACGGTGTCGTTCAATCAGGGAGGGATAAAAGATTAATGGCCAGGTGACCCCCAGAGAAAGTCTCAGTCCCTACCTTCAAACCCACAGCAGAAATGAAGTTCCCTACCAAGATCTATTGTCATGGAACTTGCTCTGGGCCATTTTGGCTCTTTCTGGGTGGAAATCCTAGCTTCCCCCCATATTTGAGTTATTTGGAAGAGATGTGGTTTCAGAGGCTTCACCAGAAAACGAAGCTGGATTTTCTAGGCCCACAAATTAAGAAATTTTGCATCGGTACAGAATTTATTCCCGCATTGCTCAGATGAACGCACGAAAGAACTTACGGCTTCATTAAAGGTTATGGAGAGCTACAAACTTTTGACGCCCACGGTGACCAATTCATTGCACATTCTCCCGTGTAGAACCAATTAAAACGAAGTCTCAATTAAGTCAGTCTTGTGCATAATCCTGGTGGATTATGTCCTGGAGTAATTAATAGGACAAGAATGTGGTCTGGATTCCCCCCTCCCCAGGCGCCAAAGCGTCTTGGGCCGATCCTGTTTGCAAAAAAGTCACACGGTCCTTACAGAACACCTCCAAGAGGAAAAACAAAGGGATTGCGACTGAGAAGTCTTTCCGCGAGACGTTCAGCCAGTCCCTGGGCACACCAACATCGCCACAGGCCTACCCTCGACGAGCATGCCCGGGCGTCAAAGATGGAAAATATTATAGGGAGTGGCGCAGAAATTTGCAAAGAGCCGCTGCCGTTCCCAGCGAGAGACGATTTTCGCGCGGAAAAAACAGAGAAGCGACTCTGTGCGGAAAGGATGAATCACCCTCCCGATGGGCGTGAGCCAGGCAGTGTGTGACTGGTGCCATTTTGAAGGTACCACTCTGCTGACGGGGAAGGGCCCCCGCCCAAAACTGATGTCTCATCATGTTCCAATTGTCCTTATATAACTTAGCTGTGGGCGGTTACACAACCTCAAAGAGACTCTTGACAGAGAGGGAAGCCACTCAACGTTCCCAGTCAAAGTTGTGTGTGTCTCTCTCTCTCTCTTTGGCCTTTGTTTGTGCGATTTTGCCAGGATGCTTTACCTACGCCCTACCCCTGGAGGGCAAATGTGACCGAGTTCCTCTCTGGCCCGTATACATTTCCAAGCTGGTTGCTGTTTTAGCCACGCACCAACTTCTCTCACATCCTGTCCTGCACCTATTGCCAGAGGACGGAGCTGATTGTCACGGCCCAGCTGAGAACCGATGCATGGCAAGCGAAACCACCCCTCCAAATGGGGACAGCACTTGCCCTCAACTTTACCACTCCGGTCGAAAGGCCAATCGTATCACATTCGTGTCCATTTCCACCCTGAGTCGAAACTTTTGGCCAAACTGCCTTTCTTGGCTGTGGCTCCTCTGGACGGCATCTCGTCCTTAGGGAAGCCAAGGTACCTTTTCCTGGTGGTCAGGAGGCCTGTCATGACGCCTAGCAGGTGTCACACAGCAGATGTGGCAATCTGTGTGCGCACCCTACCGAATAGAACATCCCTTTCTAAATCCCTTCTGCCAGTTCAAGGAGAAACCTGCTCTCAGGATCCAAAGAAGAAGAACCCGGTTTCACCAACTTTCCTTGCAAAACAATCTCAGCGGGGCAAAGAGGGACACCGATCCCAGCAATGCCAGAGAAGAAGAAGAAGAGATTGGATTTATACCCCGCTCTCCACTACCCAAAGGAGTCTCAGAGCGGCTTACAAACTCCTTTCCCTTCCCTTCCCCACAACAGACACCCTGGGAGGTCGGTGGGGCTGAGAGAGCTCTTGACAGAAACTGCTCTTTTTTCAAGAACAGCTCTTATCAGAACTACGGCTTGCCCAAGGTCATCCAGCAGCTGCAAGTGGAGGAGTGGGGAATCAAACCCAGTTCTCCCAGATTAGAGTCCGCGCACTTAACCCATACACCATTGTGGATCCCTGCCTATGCCGAGCAAGTCCAAAACGTGGCCCCCACTTTGAGAGTCCTCGTGAGGCTCTCTCTTTCAGCCGCCCTCTGAATTACAGTTCTTAAAAGCCAGCAAAAAAAAAGAAGAAGAAGAAAGATTGATGACTCAAAGGCCCTGGGTTATGAAACCAAACACCGTCCGGCTCCAGTTTGCCGCCATTGGGAGTCTCAGTAACTTCTCGACTACGTACAAACACACGCCCGAGACGTAACCCGTTGCAAGGAGGAGAGGAAAAGCAAACCCCAGATGGTCACAGACTAGAGAATCCAGCCCCCCCCCCAAAAAAAAGAGAGAGAAAGTTATTGCTTACCTAGAGATCAGTGCATTCCTTGTAGGTCTCTCGCTGTATAGATTCCACCTTGAAAAGAGAGAGAGGGAGAAAGAGGAAAAAAGGAAAAGCAAGAAGAAGAAGAAGAAGAGGAGGAGGAGGAGGAGGAGGAGAGAGAGACAGAACGACCAAGAGACAAACGTCTGTTTCCAGCTGCCAAGAGTCAGCGCTGGGAACTTACACCTAAAGTCACTGACTTTTAGTCAAAGAAGGGAAATCCTTTTTAAAACCTTGGCCCCTCCCCGGCCAGTAATTAGGAGGGCAGACAGGCGGATGAGACGGGGTGGGAGGGGCCTCTTTTACTGTAATGTGTGTGAAGTAGGCAATGACACCCTTTCATGTCTGCAGCCCCAGCCTCTCTCTGGAATCCAGGCCGTCTGGAGAAACTGATTCTAGGTTACCAGGGGAGGGTGGGGGAGAGCCAAGGTTATTTTGGGACAGGAGAGCGGCTGATCTCCGGAGTGGACGCCCAGAATGTGGCCCACGTCTTCACCTGACCGATTCTCCTCTTGGAGAATCGGGGGGGAACGTATTGGCACGGCCTCTGGTTCTGTAATGAGTCACAAAGCTTTTTATGCGTGTGTGTGTGTTTTGTTGTCTTTTTTTTGCCTGGGCTGGGTTTCCCATTTCGCTGGAGCGGTTTTGTCTTTGGGCCTGGGATAGAACTGGGCGTCCCCCACCCCAACTTCCCTTCACATCACTTCTTTTAGATCAGGTTTTCCGTGGAGGTGGTAAACCTGGATGTGGTCAACACTGCTTTGCTCTTCTCGGTGGTAGCCGGCATAACTGAATGTGGAGCTGTGGCTCAGTGGCAGAGCCTCTGCTTGGCCTGCAGGAGGTCCCAGGTTCCATCCCTGGCATCTCCAGTTAAAAAGGACCAGGCAGGAGGGGATGGGAAAGACCTTGACCTGAGGCCCTGGCTCAGTGGCAGAGCCTCTGCTTGGCCTGCAGGAGGTCCCAGGTTCCATCCCTGGCATCTCCAGTTAAAAAGGACCAGGCAGGAGGGGATGGGAAAGACCTTGACCTGAGGCCCTGGCTCAGTGGCAGAGCCTCTGCTTGGCCTGCAGGAGGTCCCAGGTTCCATCCCTGGCATCTCCAGTTAAAAAGGACCAGGCAGGAGGGGATGGGAAAGACCTTGACCTGAGGCCCTGGCTCAGTGGCAGAGCCTCTGCTTGGCCTGCAGGAGGTCCCAGGTTCCATCCCTGGCATCTCCAGTTAAAAAGGACCAGGCAGGAGGGGATGGGAAAGACCTTGACCTGAGGCCCTGGCTCAGTGGCAGAGCCTCTGCTTGGCCTGCAGGAGGTCCCAGGTTCCATCCCTGGCATCTCCAGTTAAAAAGGACCAGGCAGGAGGGGATGGGAAAGACCTTGACCTGAGGCCCTGGCTCAGTGGCAGAGCCTCTGCTTGGCCTGCAGGAGGTCCCAGGTTCCATCCCTGGCATCTCCAGTTAAAAAGGACCAGGCAGGAGGGGATGGGAAAGACCTTGACCTGAGGCCCTGGCTCAGTGGCAGAGCCTCTGCTTGGCCTGCAGGAGGTCCCAGGTTCCATCCCTGGCATCTCCAGTTAAAAAGGACCAGGCAGGAGGGGATGGGAAAGACCTTGACCTGAGGCCCTGGCTCAGTGGCAGAGCCTCTGCTTGGCCTGCAGGAGGTCCCAGGTTCCATCCCTGGCATCTCCAGTTAAAAAGGACCAGGCAGGAGGGGATGGGAAAGACCTTGACCTGAGGCCCTGGCTCAGTGGCAGAGCCTCTGCTTGGCCTGCAGGAGGTCCCAGGTTCCATCCCTGGCATCTCCAGTTAAAAAGGACCAGGCAGGAGGGGATGGGAAAGACCTTGACCTGAGGCCCTGGCTCAGTGGCAGAGCCTCTGCTTGGCCTGCAGGAGGTCCCAGGTTCCATCCCTGGCATCTCCAGTTAAAAAGGACCAGGCAGGAGGGGATGGGAAAGACCTTGACCTGAGGCCCTGGCTCAGTGGCAGAGCCTCTGCTTGGCCTGCAGGAGGTCCCAGGTTCCATCCCTGGCATCTCCAGTTAAAAAGGACCAGGCAGGAGGGGATGGGAAAGACCTTGACCTGAGGCCCTGGCTCAGTGGCAGAGCCTCTGCTTGGCCTGCAGGAGGTCCCAGGTTCCATCCCTGGCATCTCCAGTTAAAAAGGACCAGGCAGGAGGGGATGGGAAAGACCTTGACCTGAGGCCCTGGCTCAGTGGCAGAGCCTCTGCTTGGCCTGCAGGAGGTCCCAGGTTCCATCCCTGGCATCTCCAGTTAAAAAGGACCAGGCAGGAGGGGATGGGAAAGACCTTGACCTGAGGCCCTGGCTCAGTGGCAGAGCCTCTGCTTGGCCTGCAGGAGGTCCCAGGTTCCATCCCTGGCATCTCCAGTTAAAAAGGACCAGGCAGGAGGGGATGGGAAAGACCTTGACCTGAGGCCCTGGCTCAGTGGCAGAGCCTCTGCTTGGCCTGCAGGAGGTCCCAGGTTCCATCCCTGGCATCTCCAGTTAAAAAGGACCAGGCAGGAGGGGATGGGAAAGACCTTGACCTGAGGCCCTGGCTCAGTGGCAGAGCCTCTGCTTGGCCTGCAGGAGGTCCCAGGTTCCATCCCTGGCATCTCCAGTTAAAAAGGACCAGGCAGGAGGGGATGGGAAAGACCTTGACCTGAGGCCCTGGCTCAGTGGCAGAGCCTCTGCTTGGCCTGCAGGAGGTCCCAGGTTCCATCCCTGGCATCTCCAGTTAAAAAGGACCAGGCAGGAGGGGATGGGAAAGACCTTGACCTGAGGCCCTGGCTCAGTGGCAGAGCCTCTGCTTGGCCTGCAGGAGGTCCCAGGTTCCATCCCTGGCATCTCCAGTTAAAAAGGACCAGGCAGGAGGGGATGGGAAAGACCTTGACCTGAGGCCCTGGCTCAGTGGCAGAGCCTCTGCTTGGCCTGCAGGAGGTCCCAGGTTCCATCCCTGGCATCTCCAGTTAAAAAGGACCAGGCAGGAGGGGATGGGAAAGACCTTGACCTGAGGCCCTGGCTCAGTGGCAGAGCCTCTGCTTGGCCTGCAGGAGGTCCCAGGTTCCATCCCTGGCATCTCCAGTTAAAAAGGACCAGGCAGGAGGGGATGGGAAAGACCTTGACCTGAGGCCCTGGCTCAGTGGCAGAGCCTCTGCTTGGCCTGCAGGAGGTCCCAGGTTCCATCCCTGGCATCTCCAGTTAAAAAGGACCAGGCAGGAGGGGATGGGAAAGACCTTGACCTGAGGCCCTGGCTCAGTGGCAGAGCCTCTGCTTGGCCTGCAGGAGGTCCCAGGTTCCATCCCTGGCATCTCCAGTTAAAAAGGACCAGGCAGGAGGGGATGGGAAAGACCTTGACCTGAGGCCCTGGCTCAGTGGCAGAGCCTCTGCTTGGCCTGCAGGAGGTCCCAGGTTCCATCCCTGGCATCTCCAGTTAAAAAGGACCAGGCAGGAGGGGATGGGAAAGACCTTGACCTGAGGCCCTGGCTCAGTGGCAGAGCCTCTGCTTGGCCTGCAGGAGGTCCCAGGTTCCATCCCTGGCATCTCCAGTTAAAAAGGACCAGGCAGGAGGGGATGGGAAAGACCTTGACCTGAGGCCCTGGCTCAGTGGCAGAGCCTCTGCTTGGCCTGCAGGAGGTCCCAGGTTCCATCCCTGGCATCTCCAGTTAAAAAGGACCAGGCAGGAGGTGATGAGGTAGAGTAAGCCTTGGTCCAATAGATGGGTAGAAATTCTTGAAGAAGTGGGGTCGAAGGGAAGGTCGGCCTCTCCGTCTGATTCACAGACCACCCGCGTGGGATTTTTATGTGGTATTTACTAACCATCCCTGACCCGGATGGCCCAGGACGTCCCAGTCTCGGAAGCTTAGCAGGGTCGGCCCTGGTTACTACTTGGATGGAAGACCACCAAGGTAGTCCCAGGGTCACTACGCAGAGGCAGGCAAACGGCCAACCACCTCTGAAATCTCTTGCATTGAAAACCCCATGAGGTAGGAAGTGGCAAACCAACTCAGTCTCTTGCCTTAAGAACCGAAAATAGCCAAAAATACCAGGTGCCCTCAGGAGGTCCAGCAGTGGGGCCAGGACACCAGGAGCCCTCCCACTGTTGCCCCCCCCATCCAAAAATACCAGGTGCCATCAGGGGGTCCAGCAGTGGAGCCAGGACAATAGAAGCCCTCCCACTATTGCTGCCCCCTCCCCAAGCACCAAGAAGACAGAGCATCCCTTGCCCCAGACCGAGAGTTCCTCTCTATCCCTTGTGGCTCATAGCCACTGATGGACCTCTGCTCCATGTGTTTATCCAATTCCCTCTTGAAGCTGTCCATGCTTGTAGCCGCCTCCTCCTCCTGTGGTGGATGGCCCCGGCTAGCCCAATCACATCAGATCTTGGGAGCTAAGCAGGGTCGGCCCTGTTTAGGACCAGTGTTCCCTCTAAGCTGAGTTAGTGTGAGCTAGCTCACAGTTTTTTTAGCCTCCGGCTCACACATTTTTGTCTTAGCTGAGGAAGGAGGGCTCCAGAGCAAGCTAATTTACACAGGAGCTGGATCGCTCGCTCACAACGTTGGTGCCAGTAGCTCATCAAGTAGAATTTTTGCTCACAAGACTCCACAGCTTAGAGGGAGCATTGGTTAGGACCTAGATAGGGAGACCACCAAGGAGGTCTTGGGTTGCTACGCAGAGGCACGCAATGGCCAACCACCTCTGATCGTCTCTTGCCTTGACCTATATGGCCCAGGCTAGCCCGATCTCATCAGATCTTGAAGCTAAGCAGGTTCAACAATGCTCAGAACTTGGATGGGAGACCACCAAGGAAGTCTTGGGTTGCTACGCAGAGGCACGCAATGGCCAACCACCTCTGATCGTCTCTTGCCTTGACCTATATGGCCCAGGCTAGCCCGATCTCATCAGATCTTGAAGCTAAGCAGGTTCAACAATGCTCAGAACTTGGATGGGAGACCACCAAGGAAGTCCAGGGTCTCTACGCAGAGGCAGGCAAGGGGAAACCACCTCTGAACAGCTCTTGCCTCAAAAACACTGTGGGGTCAGTGCAAGTCAGCTGCGATTTGGCAGCATCTCCCACCCACCAAAGAGACAGGAACGGAAGGAACTACAGAGCGAGACATAATTGCATAAAATTCGAATGTAATTAAGGAAAGTACAAATCACCTCCACTCGCCTCTTATACTGGAAACCCTACGGGATCGCCGTAAGTCGGCGGCAACCTGACAGCCATTTCCACCACTACTTACTTCCAGGGGTCATTTCGTAGAAAAAGAGGTGCAGGAGCTCATTAGCATAACTTATTTGCATAGGCCACACCCCCTGACATGACCGGAAGTGTGTCAGAAGGCAACACCCGCCGCTCAGGCTCCGCTGGACTCTTTTGGATTGCTAGCTGTTGGGGGTGGGGGGGACGTGAAGATCTGTCCTCACAGAGGAGGGAGAGCTTTTACCGGAATAAAACTTGGTCTTAAAGGTGCCACTGGACTGTTTTGGGCCAGGGGGCTGGGGGGGCGGCCCTGCAGCTTACCTGGCTGCTTCTTGCTCTGACTGAGGGCTGCTGGGAGCAGGGGGCGGGGCTTGTTGCATATGCCCGCCTCCTGGGCTCTTTACTGCCGGAGCGCCGCTCCTGTGTGCTCCTGCAGGAAATGACCCCTGCTTACTGCACAAAGTCATCATGAATGGATGCTTTTGGACCCGTCGACCAATCTCTTGCTCCAATATTCCCTGACTCAACAGAAACGTCAACGTTTTCCAGGGTGTGGTGAGCCCTCGTTGCCCAGGCGTCAACGTTTCTGGCTTTCCTGCTACGTTAAAAATGTTCAAACAGACCTTCATGTACAGCAGGGGCGGATTGGCCATTCAGCTTACAGGGACGTTTCCCGTTGGGCCGTGGCTGTAGAGACCCGCTGGAGGACAAGCCCCACAACTCTGCCTGTGCCCCCAGGGGCTGCTGGGGCCCAAGGCTTCATCAGTAACTACTGTCAGGTTGACTATTGTCACTTCTTCCAAACCGGACATCTTGCGAGATGACAGTGAGCCCGTTGCCATACTGGGTACCACGGAGTACAGTGGCCCCCGAAGAGCTGGCTCGCCGGAGCTGCTCAGTTGGGGTTGCTCCAGACCATTTTCACTTCCCAGAATGCCTCCTGTGTCAGGGAAAATAAAAACAGTGCTTCCAGGTTAGGGCAGGTGAGGTTGGTGACGTAAGATCATAAGAACATCAGAAGAGCCCTGCTGGGTCAGACCAGGGAGGGTCCCTCTAGTCCAGCCTCCCGTCTCACACAGGGGCCAGCCAGTCCCTCTGGAGGGCCAACAACAGGGCAGAGAGGCCGAGGCCTTCCCCTGAGAAGAACCTCAGAAGAGCCCAGCTGGGTCAGACCACGGAGGGTCCCTCTAGTCCAGCATCCCGTCTCACACAGGGGCCAACCAGTTCCTCTGGAGGGCCAACAACAGGGCAGAGGGGCCGAGGCCTTCCCCTGGTAAGAACATCAGAAGAGCCCTGCTGGGTCAAACCAGTGAGGGTCCCTCTAGTCCAGCATCCCGTCTCACACAGTGGCCTCAACCAGTTCCTCTGGAGGGCCAACAACAGGGCAGAG